CATACAGACACACTAACTGCAAAGACTCCCTTTTTGCGCTTCGCACACGGGAGTCAAAAACGTATCCCTGTGCATAAACTTCAGGAAATCATTCCTAAATGATTTTTCAAAGAAAGCCATCTCACCTGAAAAGTGTTTATTCAAACGACTACATCTATACCTTAAATGACCACACCAATAAAACCTAAGTATTAATGTGTAGCATGCTTTATACATTGGCTTTGGAAATGAATAAAAGTCATCTCTGTAGTTGCATGTCCAAGAACACAAAGTTTGAACATATTTGTTTCAAAACCGTTAATGTCAGTTTTATATAGTGTACCTAATCTGTAAATCAATAATTCACCCAGGCATTGTCTGAGCAGGGTGTTACCAAGAAGCTGTTGGCGCAATTAGGACTGAACCAGCATAGTCACTGATAGTGTGTGGTAAATTAGACCCTGGCAATATGATGAGACATTGGTAGGGGAGCATAGTCAGAATTTGAGTCAACTTGCTTTCTGAAAGTTTTCGTCCATTGAGACAATTCAACTGTAGCGATGTATGTCACAAAGGGAGGGGGGGGGGTCATCTCGCAATGCAAAGCCAGCTAGTGGAAGGGACATGAATCTGATGCAGTAATAGGGGAATACCGTAGTGCTGGAAACTTGACAATTACTAGGCGAGAGGAACAGTGACAGACACGCTGACAATACTGTGGGCAAATTTGGACAGATATGTGTTCCCACCTTTACAATATGCATTAATTCATGTTGTATTGGAAAAAGTCCTAGGGAAACTGAATGTAATGACAGAATGCCACTTTGCTGACAAGTTTGCCAGCAAGACTGTGGTTTTCACTCCTGTCCTTATAGTGGCGTGTCAAATGATGTTCCAATTATACGCCTTGCTTGTCCAATCACCATTGGAACCCATTGCGCAGATTTTTCCAATATTTTTTTTCATAATAAAAATGATATGAAATGATAAAATGATTGTTTTTGTCTAATACAAAACTTACTAAAAACCTGGTACATGTATCACTTGGCGAGTCAAAACAAACTGTTACAATTGTATCGGTCATTGCAGGTTTAGTGGTTTTGATTGTAATAAAATATTAGAAATCTTCTGGTGTACCGGTAGGAGATTGTTTTTTATAACAGACAAGAACATGTGCAATTATTTTATTAACAGCATTTACCAGAATGTATAAATACGAGTAATGTATTAAAAATTTCAAATATGAAAACCTTAAATGTGACAATATTTACTTAATAATCCAGCGAAAATATTGAACGAGTGGGAAATGTTTTATATGCACTTCTCTGTATTGGAGACGTGTTACTGATAGTGAAATATGACTACTGAGCACAATACAACTTTGCATTTCCATGAGTGCACAACAATCATAAATATTTCTGGTATAGCCATTTAACACAAATACATACGTAATACGAATAACAATGACCTATGCAGTAAAACACCTGTAAGGTGGTAGGTACAATTCAATAGTGGGTGGGGTCAGTTTGCATTGAGCTGAAATGACAGCTATTCTTTTATTCAGGGCAGGTCAGAAGTCCTCTACTGATTGATATTGACTGACCATTGACAGTTACTTCACTGCACTGAACACATTCGTTGAAGTCATCATATATGGTAGTGTCGACGATAGTTTATTTCATTTTTGCTACGCACACTATAAATATTTTGTGTTAGTGCACAAATTCCACTTCTATGTCTAAAGGATTAACTAAATCATTCATGTATGTACATGTGTGCATATTAACTAAAAAAGAAGTTCTGAGGTCAAGACATCACATGCTGACAATCATTCATATGGTTATCCATGGAGGATTTCAGCAAGCGTTGACATACACTTGGAGGCATTGAAGTGAACACTTTTATTCATGCAATGTGACTACATATGGACAAATCTGCTTTAACTATAGTATTATATTTTGTATAATATCGTAAGTATTCTAATTTAGGCTTCAGGCAAATGTGAAGGCCTTCATTTTGTCCTAAAATACTTTTTATTAATAGGAGTCTCAGACAATTGAAATTTTACAGAAAAAAAGTGGAAGTGATGTCATTGTCATTGAAGTACAATTTTCTGCCATTGACTTAGGTTGACTTTTTTTTAGAAAATAAACTATGAGTGGAAGAACCATTTAACACTTCACAGTTTACACATGCATGCTATCTGGAATAAACATTGTATTTTTGAAAAGACAACAGTGACTATAAAAAATATACAAATGTAGGGACCTGAAATTGAAAATGTTCCAAAAATGACGACTAAATTAGAATACCAACGGTAATTATTTTCTGCACTGTTCAATGAATCTTGAATGGTTTTTAAGTACAAAAATCACAAAGAATGGGGAGGGCTGATGTTGTTATATAATTGCTAGTATTAAATAACATGAAAGCAATAAATATATATACAATGTTCATAGATTGGCATAGTGTTTAAATCCAAACAAATTTAGTCACATTTGCTCTAAAGCCGGATGTTATTGATAATAGCTCTTGTGAACTCTGATGCTGTAGCATAGCCACCCATATCTCTTGTCCGAACCTAGTGAATAAAATATAAATAGATAAATCAATAATTATGTCAGTCATTGCACTGCATACAATACAGATGCAATCCTCACACTACATCATATTTTATACAGACCTCACACATCCTAGAAAGCGCAGGCATAACATTGCATCATGTTTGATAAGATTACATTTATCATAAAAGACACATTAATTATACAGGTTACATGCATCATATATGTGTCGCGCGCAGTTATCTAACATAGACAATTTTACACTTTTTATGATGTGTTCTAAGTTAGTTTTGTAACTTCAGACATTGTTTTGATAACCACGAGTTGAACCCTGAGAGACTAGATCTGTTTCTGTAGCAACCGTGATGCTATCTCCAAACGTTCGCTACATTGTTTCCCATTGCGTTCTCATGATACTTTGTCTGCTTACTGCCAAAATTCCCACCAAAGTTCTGTCTCGTGCTACGTTTCATCAATCATTAGCGCTGTTTTATTTTCGGAGCGTTTTTGGCATAATATATTCTAGAGTACCAACACGTGTTTGGCACTTCTCTGATTAGACAAATGAAAAGACAAATGCCGCTCCAACGTTAACAACTACATTAATCAGGCAAAGCACTGTCGTGAGAAGCCCGATTCAGGTCGTTGCTGTAATTCCTCCTACGGTAGCTTCGCAACCTGATGCTCGTTACGCACACCCTCCTTTCTATGCTCTATATGATGTCAACTCCTCATGAAACTATTATTTAACAATCCATATTTTATATCAAGAAGTATTTGCTGTACAACGTATTGATGTTCATGCTGAGTATAAATAAACAAGTTTGAATTATACCTCACGTCTGTTCAACTCGAGATAACGCTATCAATGTCCGATTCAATAACAATTCCGCATGTTTAGTCAGTTCGTTTTTAATATGTGACGAAAAGAACACCTCAACGCCTAGTTTTGCGATATAAACTTACCCATCACAATATGACATTCATCACACCACATCATATTCAATATAGGTTCCATGCATCATATACAACACATTCATCACACCACATCATGTTTGATAAGGGTTCCATGCATAGGCGACATTAACTTTTAGAAGATATGTATTTTGAAGATATGTATTTGCTGAAAAGTTTTAACATTTTAACTTATAATTGCATTGTATAAGCTGCTCATTTACCTTTCCTGTCTTGATGACTCTTTCCACTGCAGTCTGAATCACATTGGCATAAAATTCCAAACTGTAAAACAGACATTCAAATTTATTTGTCAGATTGGTACTACCATGACTAAACTACTCAATGTTTGCTAATTTTCAATCATCATATTTATTTATTAACAAGTCATTGAAAATGACACATTTCCCATTAAATTTTTGAAATTTCTCTTAGTGCTTATCATATTAAAGTGGAGTGGTTGTTGCGAGCGTGTCCTTGAAACTCAAGTCCCAAGTGGCGTATACAACAAATTGTTTATTTACATCAAATTCGAAGACTCGTTGCGTGACTACCCCTCCGGTTTAAGACATAGCAAAGAGAAACATAGATCATGAGTGAAAGCATGTCCAAGTTATCACAGTCTGCACATGCAAAGAATGAATGGAATTGGTCCGATGGATTCTGAAATATGACTCTGGACGGACGCACGGAGACCGAATTATAAGTCCCCGTTTTCAGACTTTTCAAAAAAAAACAAAAAAAACTCTTTTTTCTGTAGTTAAGTTGGAACAGTGGGAACAAATAATGTAGATACAAGTTTTGCAAATACAGATAAGAAACCAAAGTATGAAAGATTTCCAATTTAACAGGAATAACTATGATAATATATATCTACCGGATTCTGCCGTAAATTCGCCCAGGGCCATTAAATGACAGTTCGGGTTTAAAAAAAAAAAAATTGGAACCAAGAAACCGCCTAGGGCGATTTTTCGGCTGTTTTTAAAGGTGTTATTTTAATCTGATGCCTAAAAGTTTTGTTGTAGTCATTGACACCTATTCAAGAGTATCATGTTTATTGGGACTTGTGTGAATAGGTTAGCTTCGTTTCGACACTGAGTTGTTATCGCTCTAAATAATGTTAAATTATTTTTCAAATGCTCAGTTTATCTTTTGAAAACAACTATTTTTTTATTTAAAAACAAATCATGCCGATTTGCCATCAAAATCCAAGCCAAAAGATCGTACAATAACATTAACATATTTAAATGTTTATGGTAATTTGAACACGTTGGCATCATCCATCGTTTTCATTGGTTAATTATCGATTTGACCAGTCAGGTCAGGTCAAAACATGGCGGATATTCATTTCTATCGAGCGTTGAAAATGCGATCGGAATCATTCGCTTACGATGAAACAAGGTGAAATTTATTTGCATTTCATAACAATTCAACGAATTTATTTTTTGTACGTTATTATAATCATTACTAGGTAATAATCAAGCATGACTGGACACCGCTACCACGATCATTCACTACTAAGCAATGCAGTTGTGTTCGTTGTTATTTGAAACTTCTTTTAGAATATACTTTCGTTACTAATAAAATGAAACAAAATAATTGCATTTGGCGCACGAGGTTCGTTAATGTGTTAAGGTGTTGAAAGTCGGCGTAGGTGGATTTTTCAATGAAAATATAAGCCCCCTAAAAATATTCGATGATAATTTTTTGAAAATTTGAACCTCAAATAAGGGGCCACCAGCCGTGAAACTGCGATTTTCCGGATGGGCGAATTTACGGCAAAGTCTGATACTACTTACTTTATATGTCTCAGCATATTTGAAGCGCATAACAGCATGGCAGTGGGGTTGGCAACATTTCTTCCAACAGCTTGAGAGAATGTATGTCTAGCTCCCTGCAAGAAGACAAAATAATACATTACTGTGGAATACGTTATTTTCGCTGGAATTAATTTTTCGCTGAAAAGGCTTTTTGGGCGTTTTGTATGGAATTTATTTTCACTGATTTCTGATGAGTTTAATGTGAAATATAGGAAAACAAGTATATTCGCTGGATTTTATTTTCACGGAATCATCCCTTCAGCGAAAATAGCGAAAATAAATTCCAAGCGAAAATAAAGTATTCTACAGTAA